AATTAATAAAAGCTTGAGTGAGATCGACTGGACCCTTCTATTTGGTGAAACGCATGATGTGAATGACATGCTCAGTATATTCTATGACAAAATTAACAGTATCATAACATTACAAAGTCCACCTGCAGTACGTAAACGTAAGACTCATCCTCCTTGGTTCGATAAAAACCTAATAAGAACTTTGAGAGAAAAGGAAAAGGTACGACGGCGGTATAGAATTTATAAAAACCCCATGGATGAGCTTGAATTGAAACTGCTGAGTAAGCGATGCTCTGTTATGGCTGCCACTTGTTACCATAAGTATGTCAGAGATCTGGAAGCTGTCATAACCAGGGATCCAAAACGATTTTGGGCTTATATCAAGGACAAGCGAGGTGGAACTAGTTCTTATCCATTGACAATGACTGATGGCATCATATCATCTTCAGATGGCGTCAGTATTTCGGAAATGTTTGCTGCTCATTTTTCTGCAATGTACAGTGACCGAAATGTGAGTCATCATTCATCTCCTTCAGAATACGTGCAGAACTTGTTTATATCCAGTTTGCCTTTGACTGCACCGGAAATTGATTTTGAAACCCTGCTTAACAAAATGAGGGCTCTGGATCGTCGAAAAGGCGCTGGACCCGACGGGATCCCCCCTTACTTTGTGTCTATGTGTGCTTCGTCCTTAGCGGCTCCCCTGTTACAAATATTTAATAAATCACTTGACACAGGCATTTTCCCAAATGTTTGGAAGGTAGCGCAGGTGGTTCCTGTTCATAAAGGCAGCGATCGTGAACATATAGATAATTATAGACCTATTTCAATATTGTCTGCCTTCGCCAAACTCTTTGAATCCTTGATTTGTCCGTATGTTCAGTCTCATTTGAAACTTTACATCAGTAACTCTCAGCATGGCTTTGTGAGCTCCAGATCTACATGCACGAACCTAGTGACTTTTACGGAAACCTTGGTTGGTGCCATTGACTCCGGCAAACAGGTGGACGTGATTTACACCGATTTTAGAAGAGCCTTTGATCGAGTTCCGCACAATTTACTTCTGTTTAAATTAAACGCCTACGGTATCACTGGCTCCCTCCTTGATTGGTTTAATTCCTATCTTAAAGGTCGAACCTTTTTTGTTGCTCTCAATGGCTACCGATCGGGTTCCTACAAGGTTACGTCTGGGGTTCCCCAAGGATCGCACGTTGGTCCCGTCATGTTCAACCTATTCGTCAATGATCTCGCTTACGAGCTAAAACACTCTGAGTGTTTCTTGTATGCGGATGATTTGAAATTTTGCAGAGTTATTGAATCTGATCTCGATGTTGCGTTGCTGCAGGGAGATATTGATGTCTTAGTTAAGTGGTGTAATAATAATGGTATGAGCCTAAATATTAGCAAGTGCTTCCACGTCAAATATACAAGAAAATTAAATATAACACAATCTGCATATTATATATGTGGCACTTCTGTGCAGGAAGTGGAGCAGATGAGGGACTTGGGAGTTCTATTCGACAGGCAATTAACATTTAAACCCCACATTGAAAACGTAGTTAAAAAAGCCTCAAAAATGCTTGGGTTTGTGTTAAGGAATGTGACCTGCTTTCGTAACTGTAAGACTAAGATATTACTTTATAATTGTTTAGTTCGTAGCACGTTGGAATATTGTAGCACTGTATGGAGACCACATTATGCCACCCATACACTTAGAGTAGAAAGGGTCCAAAAACGTTTTCTTTGGCACTTGGCTTTCTCTTCCGGGATAGCTAAAAGAAAACGGTCGTACAAAGAAAGACTCCTCCACTTCAAGATGACATCCCTACAAAAGAGAAGAGATTTATTGGACGCAACATTTTTATACAAGATTCTACGGTCTCAAATTGACTGTCCTCAGTTATTGAATAGGTTCAAACTCCGTGTGCCTAGAAAAAACCCACGTGCTCCTATAACCCCATTACATCCTCCTTTACGCAGAACCGTTCTGGGTGCTAACTCTCCAATACCCCGTCTGTGCAAACTATTAAACAGCTGCAGTGATCTGGTAGATGTGCACTCGGACTCACTTGCTAAGTTCAGAAGCATCATGTTTAATTTATGAAATCTTTCTATGAATTTATTCTCTTACATATTGACATATTTGTTTTTATTTTTACTTTTAACTTGCATTTTTGATTTGTATTATAATAATATTTTATTTCGCATGAATGTGTTGATTATGTTCTTTGATTCTTTGATTCTGTTATATTAAATTATTTTAATTATGTTTTTAGTAATGTAAATTCTGTTTTTTTTTTGGTCAATTTATTAATTTGAATTACTAGTTTTAATTTATTTAATTTCAATTTTATTATGATTTATTTTAATTAGGTTTTTCATTTTCATTAATGTTATTTCTTCGACATTTTGTTTTTGCATGTTAACTCATAGTTTTATTCCAATTTTTAGGTTTAATTTGTCCCTAGGAGCCTGATTGTGTGTACCTACATAAATTTCTTGCCTTTATATATTTAATCTTAAGTAGTGCATGATGTGCTTACCTGTAAGAGATTGATACACTAGACCCTAATTGATTTAATGTAACCCATAATTGTTGAGTGTACTCAATTGTTGGTGAGCCAAATAAATAAAATAAAATAAAAAATAGTTGCGTATTTAAAACAAAAATTCGTTCGCCTTCTATGATTTTTTCGTGTGTCGATTACAAACATATATCTACACATACACATTACACCCAAACTAGAAACAACAATTTGTGGATCACATAAAGGGTTGTTCCGTGCGGGAATCAAACCCGCGACACGTAGCGCTGCAGCCCGTTGCCTAACCACCGCGTCAATCGTACACTCAAATTTTGCAAAGCTAACAGAAATACTTCTATTCGACTTCCCTCTCCAGGAATCGAACCCAGGTCCATATGACTAGCATACACCTGTGAGTGCCCCCAGCGACACACGTCAACGTGTTACGTCACGTTGTCACGTCCGTCCGTCAGTATCTGTGACGACGTGACATTTGTGTAGTTATAGAGTTACACAGTGTGGAGGGGATGGGGGGGGGGCAGTGGCAGACTGGCGGGGCGCCACTAGTGTACACTTATCTTCGGGAACTGTCCAACTCATGTGGGGGGGACGCTGTCTGTGGTGAACCCAAGTGTAACATTACGTTGATTTTAAATGAAACGTTGTAATTATTAAGGTCAGTGTGGGGGAGCCATGCTTCGGCCTGTATGGATCGGTTCGACCGGCGTGATACAATCATAGCGTTGTGTTTCGTGTGAGTGAGGTCGAATCATTCCCTCCCCTATCGCAAACAGGGCGGCAACGCACTCTTAACTCCTCCGTTGTTGCGGGTATCCATAAGCGATGCTGATTACTTACCATCAGGTAATCCGTTTGCTCGTTTGGCGATCTATCACATATAAAATGAAGAGACTTTTCAGATTACACTACTACTTTTGAGATATTCCCTTTACCCGTCGTATGGAATTCTGTTGTGGGGACAGGCATCCGACGTTGAGTCTATCTTTATCTTACAAAAGCGTGCAGTCAGAGCTATCTATAACTTAGGTCGTCGCGAATCTCTCAGAGAAAAGTATAAGGAGATCAACATTATGACCGTACCATGTCAATATATTTATGAAAACATTATGTATGTTAGGAAAAACCTACAGCTATTTGTAAAAGTATCTGACAAGCATGACTATCTTACTAGACATAGAAATAGATTAAGTCAGCCTTTATTTAGATTAGCAAAAGTGCATAAGTCGTTCATGGGATTATGTGTTAAATGTTATAACAAAATCCCAACTGAAATACAAAATCTTAATGAAAGTAAATTTAAATTATGTATAAAGAAAGTATTATGTAGGAAAGCATACTACAAACTAAATGATTATATAGAAGATAAAAATGCTTGGAGGGTGGCTGGTTTGACTGCACAGGATTGTTAAGGTTAGGAGGAATTTTGATCTCAATTATTAAATTATTCACCATGTTGTTGATTGTTGATAAACTGGATTTTTGTAAATGTGAGAGCCCTGTAACTTATTATAATAGAGTTAGACTTTTAGACTTATAGTATATTGGTACTTGTGTCAGTTGGGAGTTGTCATGCTCACTCAGGAGTCTCATTGGCGGTGGCACGGGCACTGGACCGCTCGGTTCCCTATAATATGTTTGAGTTGGGCGGTGCTGGTGTACGTGTCATGTTCGTGAACGGACGCCGCCTATTGGGACTGGTCAACTCGAGACTGTCTAAAGTTGCTGTCCCTGAGGGTTATTTCTTTTTCGGATACTTTGGTTAAACACTAGTGTTACACTGTTCTCACATAATGGAGCTATCTAAATTATGTAACAATGTATTGTAAAAAGTGATTGAAAAAGAGTAACCATGGAGTTTCTTGCTCGTTCTTCTCCATAGGAATCTACACTTTGGAACGAGCAAATAGCTTCACTAGAGGACAGACGGACAGACTGACACATAAAGTTAAACCTTATGATATCTTTTTTGCTTGACGTTCAAAAGTGCCTTTTTTGGTCTATTTGAAATAAAGAATTTGATTTGATTTGATTTGATTTGATTTGACCCGATCCCTAAATCTCCAAATCCCCAAAAGGTCCGCAACGAACTCGTAACTCCTCCGTTGTTGTGGGTGTACATGGCGCTCATTGCTTACCATCAGGTAATCCGTTTGCTGACCAATCTCATAAAAAAATAAACTTTTGAGATACACAATCGCGTAGCCGACCTTATGTATACCTTACCATTGTGTATCCAACAGTAGTACTGTATACTCTATATAATTAATATGAACTCTAAGGTAAACCAAATGTTCTAGGTGCTTCCTAGGCCTTCCTAGGCCTATTTCCGTCCACTGCTGGACATAGATCGGTCCAGTAGAACGCCACTGAGCTCGATGTTCAGGTCTACGCGTTCAACCTAACGTGGTGCAGGGCGCCCCCCAGTCAGGTGGGGGGACGATATCCACACCTCCCGACCTCTTGCTGGACGGTCGTTGCTGTGGAAGGTGGGGGGAGACGGGGGGGTGAAATAAAAGCGTGTGTAACGACTTGGTACAAGTTTATTATAATATGTATATGTGCGCCGCGAGCGCCCTCTACTACCGTTAAATATTACATATATATTATTATTATTATTGTACATTAAATATACAACAGATGTGAGCGCGACGCCTCACTGCCTCGGCCGGCTTCGAACGCACTACCCTCGCAGCACCGCACTCTATATATTATTGTATATAAGCACTCTCACCTCTGTACAAAGTGTGTCGACATTATCTCCATTGAGTTGCGGTCAAATATTTACATCGATCGAGACGTTCTATACAAACTGTCAACTCCAATATCATGAGAAACTGCTCAACACATTCTGATAATGCAGCTCGGTAACCATAGGTACGTAATATATCAACGTTATAAATGGGAAAGTATGTGAGATGGGCCGATTTGGTTGGAATTTGGTGACTCTGGACTGAATTTTCTTGTTTCATTGCATTTTCGACTCTACCTCAATAGTATAAAGTTGAAAGTGTAATAAAATGAGACAGAGAGATCAACTAGTGCGGGGGCGACTGTACGGGAATCTATCGACATCGATACATTGGTCGCGGCAGAGGGCGGCGAGGCGTGAGACGCGCGCAATCGAGACATTCAGAAACAAAAACATTATCAACTTTAAAACTAATAACAATAGAGTCGAACTTCGTTTGCGTTCATACCCTACGCGAGGTACGAGTACGTGTCCAGCGCCGCGGGCGCCCTCTCCAGGTACTGCTTGTCGATGAGGGCTTCGATGCATTTCTTGATCATGGCGACAGAGGGCGCGAACGAGCCGCGCGCCTGGGACACTACCTCCTGGATCAGCTCCGTGTGCCGCAGTACCTGTGGGGGGCGCGGGTCAGTACGCGGTGCGTGGCAGTAGGGGGAGGGGGGGCGGGCCCTACCTTGCGCTGCTTCATGATGCGCACGATGGCGGCCTGCAGGTACATCTTCCTGTCGTCGTCGCAGTGCGCGGAGTCCCCCGCGTCGGCGGCGGAGGCGCCGCCCCCCGCGGCCCCGGCCTGCGCCGGCGCGCTGGCGCACGTGACGCGCACCTTGGTCCGCTTGCAGCTGAACGCCAGGTTCAGCGACAGCGTCGCCTCGGGGGAGATCTCCTCCTCGTCCGCACCTGCCGACACACGCGCCATCAGCCGGAGTGCCTCGCCACCAGGTAGCTAGCCAGGGCTCGGGCACCGACCGACTTCCCCGCTGGCCAGCAGCAGGCCGGCGTCGAGCAGCGGGCGCAGCTGGCGCGGCCAGGCGTCGCCGTCCAGCTGCAGCAGGTCGCGCAGGTCGCGCGCGCTCCAGCTGTCGGCGGCCTCGAAGCTGAGCAGCAGCGCGCACTGCGCGGTGGTGGCGGCGACGTGGTACTGGCGCGCCGTGTAGCGCGTGCGCAGCTCGCCGCCGCACAGGTGGTGCAGCCACGCCAGGCGCCGCCCGCTGAACAGGTTGCGGTAGAACGCCTCGAACTGCCGCGCCGGCCGCTCCAGCTGCGGCGGCGGCGCCAGCGGGGCCATGGCGCCGCCCAGCGGCCACGCGCCCGCCTGCAGGACCTGTCGACAACGGACCAAGAAGAAAAAGAGAAACGGACCCAATATCGAACCCTGCGGCACGCCCAGTTCCATCTCAAAGCCCTGTAAGTTTGAAGCGTTTACGTTTAGTTGCCAATCCTCTAAACATGATTTCAATAGACGGAGCTCAATGTATACATCCAATCCCGTAATGTTCTAATGTCAGCAAAAGTGTGTCAAAGTGATCTATACAATCAAACGCTTTTGAATAGATTACCTCAAGTCACTACAGTAAGTAAGTACGAGCTGGTCTGAGGTACCTGTATGAAGAAGCCGGTGCTGGTGGCGAGGTTGTTGTCCCGCAGGTGCTGCTGGAACTTGGCGTTGAGGTCGGCGGAGACGGCCACGTCCGTGAACATGCGGTGCAGCTTGTTCGTGAACTCGTACCCGCACGCCGCCTTCAGTCTGCGGACAGACCACGACGACCAGGGTTACACGGTAGACGACATCCTTTACTAAATCCCTTATAAAGTCGCTTTCTCTGTCCCTGTATCCCTATGTAAGCTTACATCTATAAAACTACGCAACGGATTTTGATGCGGTTTTTTAATAGATACAGTGATTGAAGAGGAAGGTTTATATGTATAATAACATCCGTTAAATAGTGGAGACATTTAGTATCAACATTGCACCTGTGCAACCCTGAGGCGGGTCGCTAGTAACATTATAAGCGCGAAAGTGTGTAAGTACGGATGAATGTTTGTTACTCTCTCACGTAAACACTACTGAACGGATCTGAATGTAATTTGGCACAGAGATAGATTATAGTCTGGAATAGCATATTGGCTAGTTTTTGCCCGGGTACTACGAGTAGTGTTGCCCAAATGCAAGAACAAGACGAGACTTAGCCAGTCTTGGTCTTGGTCTTGCGCTCCCAGTCTTGGTCTTGGTCTTGGTCTTGCAGCAAGAGTCTTGCAAGTCTTGCAATTACCTATTAGTCTATTATTAACGGGTGATATTTGAACACCTTTTTGCTATGTTTTCTTGTAAAAACTTAAGAAATATAATGACAAAATGTAGAATAATAGTACCTAAGTAATTAGTTTAAAACCATATATGTAATCAATATTATAATATATACTTACTAGAATGAATTAATATGACATCTACTACCTATCCTTACCATAATACTACTTGCGTGATCAGTACTTATAATGTATTCATTTTCATTCAAAACACTCTGAAACTTATTTATTCTTTGGTACACCTGTAGGTACTCCTAAAATTCGAAATTATTTTGCATGAGTATACCTACGCCCTATGGCGGCAATCAAATAGTGTCAAATGTTATGATTTCGGCGTGGCGGCAACGATCGTTTTAGATTTCTTCAAAAGAAGCCGCCGGCGCGTGTATCATAACCATGTATTTCCGAAAAGCAGCAAATTTCTTTGAGAAGTATGTACAAAACCTTTGATGCCGCATTATCAGAGTGCCGATGGTTAAAACATAACTATGCATGCACTCAGTTTGATTTTAATATATATTTTTTTATTCGCTATGTTTATGGTATTAGTCGTAATGCGCATAGGTCCAGTTTTTCATATTCTTTGATACAGTTTTTTGGGTCTCATGGAATACCTAAGCGTACCTATACACCAAACTGTTACACCTAACTACTCAGTAAATTAGCGCTAAGTCCTAGCTGCAAGACCCAAGAGTCTTGCAGGCTATGTCTTGTTCTTGCTCAAGTCTTGCACGGTCAGTCTTGGTCTTGGTCTTGCAAAAAATACGCGGTCTTGTTCTTGGTCTTGGTCTTGCAAAAACGCAAGAACAAGACCAAGACTGCAAGACCAAGACTGAATTTGGGCAACACTAACTACGAGGGAATCGGCTAGCAGAGACTTGCATTATCAGTTAAGAGCGGGTGATAGTCTACTGGCTGAACAAATCTTTCTTCGTCCCTTTTACATCCTCAATTATCAAATCCCAAAAGACCAGCAATGCTCCTTTAACTCCCTTGGAGTTGCAGATGTCTATAAGCAGCCTTGATTGCGTACTATTAGTAGACTACCTTAAAAATTACACAGGAATAGTCTTCCAGTCACTATGTGTATGTATGAGTACTCGCCTGTTGATCATGGCCTCCTCCTGCTCCATGGAGGCGCTGAGCTGGTGTATGAGGCGGCGCGCGAGGGCCCGCGCGTAGTACTTCTGGAAGACGTCCTTGTCGTCGACGTACTTGAAGACGACGATGGCGGCGGCCAGCTTGTCGTCCACGTCCGCGTCGGCGGCGGCGCGGCGCCGCAGCAGGCAGTCGCAGTACCGCGCCAGCAGCTCCGGGGCTCCGCCCCCGCTGTTCACCACCGCGCTGCATGCCTGGTACACACTCCGAGCTTCAGATACCTCCAAAAGTATTCACGAAACACAACGCTGCCTCGTATGTGCGTAATTTTGCGAATGACTAAGATACCCTAGCGAAGCGTGTAACCAGTCGAGAAAGCCGTAAACCATCGATAATTTACTTAATGTAAAACTTCCCAAACGAATGTTTTCAAAGACAGATGTATTTTTTGTTCCCTCACTCTCTGAATCTTACTATAAACTATTTTGATACATCAATATAAAACAGTCCTCTAGTGAAGCTATTTGCTCGTTCCAAAGTGTAGATTCCTATGGAGTGGGATGATCAAAAAACTCCATGGTGACTCTTGTGAGAAGTCATAGCAATTATTGTTTATCCAAATCTAAACGAATATTATAAATGCGAAAGTAAATCTGTGTCTTTTCTTCACGCCTAAACTACTGAATTGATTTCTGTGGAATTTGGTACAGACATAGTTTGGAACTCGAGAAAGCACATAGGATAGCTTTTATACAAAAATCTGCAGGTAGAAAAATTCCACGCGAACGGAGTCGCGGGCAAAAGTTAGTATTTAATAATTAAGCAGCAAACATTTTGTTAAGCATGTTTGTACAATCAGCCAATTCAAAAACTGACCCATAGAAGGTTATTTTCTTAGATATTGGAATAGGTACAGTGAGATCTACATTGGCGTAGACATACTTTTCTATGGTTATTTAATACGCATTTGGTTATTATAAAAGAAAGAAAAGAAATTAATCTCTTAGAAAAGAAACTCATTTCTTGTTACGTCATATATATTTTTTTGATTTGAACCAATATAACTTTTATGCAGTAGTCAGATTTTACTAATTGTATGTTTTAGTGGAAATAACTCGGAAAACTTTATCTTTATAATAAAAACAAATAATTCAATAATTATTTAAAATTATTCAAATTTTAAATAATTGTAAGTGTGCAGTTATCCACGCGATGTACCAAAAAATAAAACAATTTTTATGCATTACGTTTAATTCCAAATAATTTGGCGGCAGATAAGTATGGATATTTTATCAAAAGTTTATCCATCGCAATGATGGCAGCACATAGTTTGCTTAAAACAATGTCTGACAAAATGGGTCAGTAGTCGAAGTTGTCGATTGTACATGCATACAATATATACAAACATATAAATATACATATATACAAAATATAATTGCATTCACTTCAAGCTCAAACATATATCTACAGATAGCACATGCGAAACAGCTTTTACCATTAAAATAAACTTTCGTTGATACAGTGCGAGTCCTTATATTAGTTTTTCTAAAGAAATTAACGTAAAAACGTGTTACAGCCAGCAATTACGTGTTATATACTATAAAACAAAACTCCATTATCCATTAAAACGATAATGCACAATTATAAAATTAAAATTGACGCAAAAATTATACTCAATTAAAAATGTTTTTGCTTTTTTTCATTATTTTTCTATAACATTTTCAATAAACTGAACATTATAATTACAAAAACAGTTTCTTTTTAAATTTAATTAGATTTTTCTAGTTTTTTTTTTTCATATTTTTCACTTTAAAAATAATCACAATGTACCTACATAGACATGCAACCAATGGGTGGTTTTTACAGTTTGTCAGTGTCAGGAAATATATATTGAATTTGACTAGTTGGAAGCCAGCCAGCAGCCATATTGATTCTCTCTTACGAGTGTGTAGGTGATATGTAAGGTCTACGTATAAACTGACAAACTGTGAAACTACTGAACCGATTTTAGTTCAACTTTATACACATACGACATCTGAAAGATAGTTAAAACATTTTTGACATATTCTTCGAGCGAGAAATACTAGGTTTGGATAAAAACCCGAACCTCATCAACGCTCTCAAGCCGACATCGATACCACGGAGCTCAAAGGGCGTAAACGCAAAACTGTACTTTATAGAAGAACAGCAGTGTGATTCTGTAAGACTTCATTCTAAACTTCGAATCTGAATCTGCTGTGAGTAGTAGTACACTAGCGCTACACTTGCGAGTAGAACTAAATTGACAGCAACATTTTGAAAGATAAAGTATGAAATGACGTTAAAAGTGGCATTAAAAAATTTAATTTACCCGTCACTTCGACGCTCACTTCGCACTCGAACACGATTCGAAATTAAACAAATTTTATAGAATCGACGTCCAGAAAAACAAATGGATTTATTTTTGCAAATACGCCATAAAACGGCACTTTTACGCGTTAAATTATATGTGAAAAACTAGATGAAGCCGGCATTTATTATCTGACTCTACCCTGAGAAGAAATGCCAAAACAAACTCAGAGAGGTCAGTCTCTTCAAGTCCAGACAATGTAAAATAATATAATGTGAGAGAATCGTGCAAGTTCATTCTGTAGTGGTCTTTTGAGGAAAGAACCACACCAGTTTACGCGTTAGTTTAATAGGATTAGTTGTTATATCATCAACAGATATATCACATCTTTTCAACACGTCTAGCGATCACTGTTCATGACATTAGTCTGTTGACAGGCAAACAGACAGACAACTAAGTTATTATAAGAAGGTTCCCTTTTTCCCCTGTATGTACAGAACTCAAAAAAAGTAGGTAATTTATGCCAAAAATCGTCATTACGTCACTTGAGCCCCCCGGTATCGACATTATAAGCTGCGGCATAACATCTACAAGCAGTCATCACGCAGCCACTACATGCGATGGGGCCCCGCGGCCCCGGGCCCCGCACGTACCTTGTCTAGGGCCCCCACGAAGGCCTGGGCCCCGCCGAACACTTCATTGAACAGCTTGCTGTACTTCCCGTGCAGCGATAGCATCGCGTTCACGAAGTGGGTGTGTGCCTGGACAGACAAACATATAATATACACATTTTTTTAAGTTGGTTAAATCGGCCCAATCCTTCCCCTCCCCCAATCATAAAAACTCCTAATCCCTAATCCCCAAAAGGGCGACGCACTCGTAACTCCTCCGTTGCGGGTGTCCATGGGCGTCGCTGATTGCTTACCATCAGGTAATCCGACTGCTCGTTTGTTGACCTATCATATAAAGAAGTTAGCATTTTCTCCTGTGCCATCAGACCCGGAACAACAATTTGTGGATCGCACAAAGAGTGCGGGGATCGAACCCGCGACACGTTGCGCAGTTGCCCAGCCACTGAACGAAGCATGCAATCAAATACAATATAATATGTATATGTATTAGGCAGTGTAGAACCGGGCACTTGTCTTCGAATAGTACGGGGTTATGACGCCATATTTTAATAAAGTCAAAGTACATTTATTTCATGTAAATTTGACAAAAGGTTAAGGCCACTTCTCATGTATGAGGGTTTCGGGACAAGTACCAATATGACTTTTCCCGAGTTATATAGTTGTACTTTCTATGATTATTTAGACACCACTGACATACGGTGAAGGAAAACATCGTGAGGAAACCTAGACTTGTAGTTTCCAATTATAAGTTTAAAATCGCTAACCCGCATTGAGCAAGCGTGGTGGTTAATGCTCAAACCTTCTCTGTGTGAGAAGAGGCCTTTGCTCAGCAGTGGGCACTTATAGGCTGATAATGAGTTATAAAAATCGAAATCATAATTTTTTATTTTGACTTAGACAAGTACCAGATTGTCTACAAACAACTGCCAGAATAGTATGTAACTACATAACGATCAAGCAGGACATTCAATTATATAATAATTAAAAGATTTTCAATCTTCTTACTCTATAAATAAAATACAAATTTAATATTAACAACACAACACGATTTACAATACTGTTCGAGACTAACGCCCGATTAGTTTCAAGCCATGACGGGGTTCATAACGAACTTGAAACCGATCGAGCTTCGTCCTCGAAAAATTAATATTAATATAACGTAAAGGGTCTGTTTCAGGACTTTCATATAAGTTCCTGATAAACTTATGTGACAGATAAGACACATGCAGCGTTTTATATTCTATTTTATCTTACACATAGCGACTATATAAATATTGTGTAACAAGCGCTTAGTACTACAAGCAAGCAAGGAGTAGAATGATACTGTGTCTGCGGGAAGGTATAGCGTCTTAGCTCGATTTCGTTCGAGCTTGAAATTGAACGGAGTAAGCCGGGGCCTGCGAACTATATATTTGCTAACATGCATACTAACATGTATTATTATTAGTATATATATATATATATATAGGTAGTATTCACAAACGTTGCTGTGATATTTCATAATTATTGTATTTAGAACGTGTGGTGGTAGAATGGAATACCTAGTCTAGCCATAAATACTGTAACAAATAAAAAAAAATTTTCTATTGCAAATAACATTTATTACTTTTACAGTATGTAAGTTGCTTAACTACCTTCTCAAGAATGATATTTTGATACACTTGTGCCGATGTTTTGATACCTTTTTCGCAAAAGTATGGCTCAGTCACTCCTTCATAGCTAACACCCCACCAAACCATCACTGAAGTCGGATAATGCCCACGTTGCACTCTGTTGACTAATTGAGAAGCTTCCTTAGAGCTTTGAGCATAAATATGGTAATTTTGTTTGTTAAAATGTTGCTCAATTGTAAAAATTTTCTCATCCGTAAACAATACTTTTCTGTGACCTCCTTTTGTGTACCGCTTCAGTAGTTGTTTAGATTTTATTGTACCTATTAATAGGTACAATGAGCCCGGTAAACAAACATTTGACTAATGCCAAGCGTGTGGAGAGTTTTAAAAATTGCATTTGGCTCCATACCCACTTTGTGTAATGCAATCACAGCGATTCGGTTCTCTTTATCACCCCACTCCATTTTAATATCGCAAAATATTGAACAATTTATTGGCGCCAAAATAAGAAAACACAATGAAAAATTATATAAAAATGACAGATTCCAAATTCAAATGTAATATTTTGTTTATTTTTAATTGTAACAGTATTTATGGCCAGACTATGTATAATTATTATTCATTGCCACTACAGTTAACTAAAGGTAAACAATGTTGGCGTGTCTTTTTGTATCTATACTAATATTATAAAGAGGTAAAATTTGTAAGTTTATATGTAGGGGGTAATCTTTGGAACCGCTGGTCGGATTGCCAAAATTTCACTGATACATAGCTACAATGTTCCTTAGATACATCGATCACTAATAAAGAACTTTATTAGTGATCGATGGTGCTATAGGATATAAAAGATCACGCTACGATTAAATGGAGCGGAGCAGCGGACGAAACCGCGCGAGAGTAGCTAGTTTTATATTAAATAAAACAGTCAGTTTATTAACTAACATCGATTTAGGTAAATACCTGATTATAACCATTTTTACATCGAAAGACATGCCAAGACTGTTTAGTTAACTACCGAAACCGATAGACCAGAGGGTGTGAGACACCCACCACAAGAGTAACGCTGGTAAAAATCTAAAAATGTATGACTACCACACGGCAAATATGTTTATACAGGTTTTTATATAGAGCAATGATGTTTGTGAATAGCTACAGTGATGGCGGCGTCGGCTCATGGTATATGGTAGTACCACTATATACTCACAGTATTACCAATTCAAACTTTATATTAGAATTATTATTTTTTAAAGAAAATCTCTACATAGTATAAAACAAAGTCGCTTTCTCTGTCCCTATATCCCTATGTACACTTAAATCTTTAAAACTACGCAACGGATTTTGATGCGGTTTTTTAATAGACAGAGTGATTGAAGAGGAAGGTTTATATGTATAATAACATCCATTCAATAGTGGAGACATTTAGTATCAGCAAGCTCCCAAGCCCGCTGCAACTCCTGTACACCAGGATCTACAGTAGATACAACCATGAAAACACCGAAACACTGAAGTCCGCCGCGTCCCAGGGACATGAATGACTGTCTTGGATCCCGCGACGAAATAAATCAGAAGATATTATTTGAGGAGAAGAAAATACTAAATAGTTTCTACTATTTAATATTTTGCTGGGTAGTCTATGCCGGGTGTAGGTAGTTTTGACATGAAGCGTTATTTTTATCATTCAACATATCAGATTTTTACCACATTCTAAATTCTATAGATTTTTTATCAAACAAAATCAAAAGTTACTGTATTTAAAAAAAACTTTACATTTAGGTAATTTCTATAACAAATTCCTGGCAACACAAACGAAATATTAATTATAGAATCGATATAAAAGTGTGAGCATATAGTGGCAATACCAGGCGTTAAATATTGCACACCTACTTTTGGAAAATTACAATTTTGTGAGACAAGAATTATTTACATATATTTAATTTTTTTTATGGCAATAATTGACATGGCTGATTGTCTTAATGCAAAAGTCGATGTGCAATTTGTGTGTGTGTATGTATGAGCCGACCCGGCACGGGAACACACCTCGGATCCGTTCCCCAGACAGTCGGCTGGCTGCGGACAGACATACAGTCAGCTAGTGTATAGCGTGTGTGGGGTTACTGTACCCAGTGCACGACACACGGTGCTAGATTAGAGGGAGGAGGGATGTGTGCATGTGTGTTATGTGATAGATTTTGCAAGGTCCCTAGCCTTATTTTATTATGTGGGGGCGTTTTGGGGTGTAAGAATGATTAAGTGATGTAATTGATGTGATGGGTCGTGAAGGGATCTGCTTAATGGGAAGCGTTTAGTTGCGAGAGAGTTGCTATGAACGGGAGAAGGTTTTTTTTTGTCAGGGAAAAATCATCAAATGACTTCTCCCGCTTAGGGTAAGACGAGAGAGAGTGTGAGACTCTTACTGACTCAATCAAGTTCCATTCCTTTTCCTGCTTTAGACAGAGGCCCAGAAGCAGCTCATTGTGCTTACCCCGCAACCCCGGCGAGGGGAGAGGGTAACTAGGGGATTTTAGTTTTGGATGTCCTCCACTTTGTGTTGCATTCCTTATTGCTGAAGGTCGTGACCACCCTCTTGCATCACTTTTCTCTTCTCACACGATCTTTCTCTATCTTATCCTGTCGCTAGCAGTGTGGAGAGCATTGAGGATATTGGAGTCAAGAGCCGTGAGGACCTGATCGCACCAATGTATTGAGCTGCGATCACGAGGCCTTTTCCCAACCTCTTTGCCGGTCACAATAATTCTCTCCAGGTTGTTTCCATCTTTCCTTGCAATGCGCCCAAGGTATTCAAGGAGAAGTTTTTTTCGCGCGTCCCGTGGACATCCACAGCACCAAACAAGTTACGAGTGTGTTGCCAGTTCTAGGGATAAGGGTTGCGGATATTTAAGGATTGGGAAACAATAGGGAAGGGGGAGGGATTGTGCCTCCGGTAACCTCAGTCACACGGCAAAACAAAACGCTGTGGTTGTTTCACGCCGGTTTTCTGTGAGGCCGTGGTATCAATGTCAAACCGGTCGAGCCGACTCATTCGTGCCGAGGCATGGCATGGCTCTCCCACACTTAAAAAGTTATCTACTAATTCTAAATTAAAAACCGCCATTGTATTCCAACTTTCCTGATCTATCCACCAGCATGGCATAGTTTTAGACTTGTTTATAGAAAAATCCCCAGTTATACATCCTTCCAGGAGCTTAATCATCTCTCACTCATTTGCGAATATAGTGATGTCATCGGCGTATCGTAAATTGGTGATTTTTACGCAAACAACTGTGTCACCACCTTCCCAATATGCTCGCATTTTACGTCTCATTATGTACTCTCCGTAGGCGTTAAACAGAATGGGCGACAAAATGCAACCCTGGTGTAGCCCTTGGTGAAATTTAAAAGGGCTTAGAGTTTGTTCTATCAACTTTTACAACCACTTAGTTCTAGCAATAGATGCTTCGAAGTAGAGTAATAAGGTGACTAGATACCCCTAGTTTTCGTAGGACATTCCATAAGTCGCTCCAGTTGACACAGTCGAAAGCCTTGTTACAGTCGATGAAGCACATTATTACTGGCTTATCAAGCTCGTATGCTTTCTCAATAATTTGTCTTATGTTAAGAAACTATTTTCGAGTGCCTTCATGAAACTCGCTTACTCTTGCAGGAATTGCCAATCTAGGTAATATGATTATTAAGTATGTGGAGAAATATTTCGCAGGCATGTGAGATAAGGGAAAAAGTACGATAATAGGCAAAGTTTCTTTTAAACCCCTTTTTAGCGTAGTGGAAGAATGACGGATTCTGAACAATCCTGCGGCCAATCACCTTGTGCTAGACATGTGAACAGATCTCGTATGGTGTCTTAACAGCTAGATTATCTATGGCATTGAGAATCTCCGATGTAACTTGGTTGCAGGAATTCCAACGTAGAGGACTCCTCAGACGACAGAGTTATTTATCAGGGTTCCAGTTCTAGAACTTTCTATTCTTGACTTGCACTGTACAGCTTTTTACAATAAGCACGTCATATTTCAAAGATGCGATCAAGTCCGTATAAAACAGAGGTCTCTTCAATCACCTCATTTGTTTGAAAAGGATTTTTTTTGTAGTTTGCAAAATGTCACTTAATGGATGTAGTGTGTGGATAGAAATGATTTCGAGGTTAAGTTCATAATGTGATCAACTGAAGAATATACATTGCATACATTATTGTGAAAGGAATTCAGTTTAAGGGAGATTGTTTGTGAAGGAAATTCGTTACCAGTAGGGTTTAGGAAGCATTTTGTTGTGACGTAAATTCAGATATGTCGGTGAGTGTGTGTGCGAGGGTGTGAGGAAGTAGGTAGTGAGTACCTCGTCCTTGGAGTGTGGTTGCGCGAGCAAGGCGCGTCCGTCGGCGGCGGCCTGCGCGTGCGCGGCGTCGACGAGGGGGCGCAGCGCGGCGGCGCCCAGCGGCCGCAGCAGCGTGTACATGCGGCGCAGGTCGGCGCGGCGCTCGGCGGGGGGGGGCGCGGTGGGGGCGGCGGGGTCGCCGGCGGCGGCGCGCAGCAGGCCGGCCACGGTGGCGTGCAGCGCGGGCAGGTGCGCCGCCACCGCCGCGCGCTCGTAGCACGCGCGCACCGCCTCCGCTGACGAACTGTCCAGGTAGCGCGCGCCCAGCGACACCTACACACAACGGTACTTACCCACTACATTGCATACCTAACCATGATCACTGATCGCTAATCAAATAGCGTTCATGGAGCGTCGTTACGAGTTAAACTTTTATTTGGTTAAAGAATGGAAATATTTTTTGGATATCACATAGGCGTTTGATTAAGTGGGACACTGTCACAAAAACTAATAAAAACTTACAATATTCGTGGAAACATTATCTAATTGTTCCATTCTTATCTACGTGTTGGAATTCAAATAACAGAAATCAATAGGGCAAACAGTAAAACTAAAACGGAAGAAATATTTTATCTCAGGAACGTACTATCAAGTATGGTGTACCTCAGGGAAGTATACTGGGACCTTGTTTCTTTACATGAATTTCTCCGATCTATTAGTTATCCCATATTACCATTCGCGAATGATATTACTATAACATTACCGCTGAGCAATAATTTCAAAATTATTAAAAAATAAACAGTAATCATACATTTTATACAATGAGTATTGTCTTTTTCTTATCTTATTAACATATGATACAAATATAATAACACTATTGACGTCGTAAATACTACAATTTTTCTAGGGATTTTTGGGGCAACTCAACTCATATAGAGATAGTTTTTAAAGCTCAAAAGTTCATTATATTGACATCAACACGCAGCGAATGATTCACTCGACATATATATACAATCATTGGGCGGTGGAACATTCTCGATCCAAAAACTTGTATTATTAAAAAACAATTTACCATTAAAATGTGTCTTAACCAGAATAGTGTAATAAGGAGGTGATTGACTTAAAGTAGGTATGTCGTACCTCCCTGTCGAGGCCGGCGAGCGCGTGCGTGGTGTAGTGCGCGACGTCGCCGGCGGCGAGCAGGTCGGCGGCGAGCTGGGCGTGCGCGGCGGCGGCGGCGGCGAGGTAGGGCTCCAGCACGAGCGCCTGGTACAGCTGCAGCGGGCCGCGCAGCCGGAAGGCCCGCACCGCCACCGTCGAGCGGATGGCCTCGCGCAGCGTGTCGCCCAGCGCCGGGTCCAGCGGGCTCTGCCGCGCCGCGCCCAGACCGCGGACGATGCGACCTGCGGCAAATACACCCATTAGTCCATTACTTCTATCATAATAAACTTGACTGCATGTTGAATGAATGTAAAACTAACTTCTGCCCGCGACTTCACCCGTGTAAAATAGACTTCTGCAGATTTTTAGTTAAAACTATGCTTTCTCGAGTACCAAATTTCACACAAATAGGTTAAGTAGTTTAGGTGTGAAGAAAAGACAGACAGCCAGAGTTACATTCGCATTAATAATATTAGTTTGGATTGTATGTTTGTAAACGCACCCACGACACAGGAGAACAAACATACAAGTGTAAGGCAACTTAAAAAAAAAATATCAATTTGGATCTTATTCCTGTGCAAGAACCTCTCCTTAGACAAAGATATAGGTCTCCTCTATCTAAGCAATTCCAATAGGTCTCGTAAAGTGACGTATGGTAAATTCCTACAAGAATGATTATTTAAAAATTATTTATAAGTATGTACATACATATATTTAGACATTATCGATCTTTTCATAAAAGAATATCTGTTCAATAGAATCTTACATAAATAGACAGACACACAAACTAGTTATCTATATAGATATACTGACCAGTGAGCGCTGACGACAATGGTTTGATTAGGACTCGCTCCCAAATCTCCAGTCCCAACTCACCGACCTAGAACATTCAATATATTATTTATGTATACCACCACTACTCTTGTCGCGGGTATGGCATGCAAGACAAGGCAATACAGATAAAGATATCAAACATCCTTTTTTGAAGACATACTAAATAATAGGTTAGGAATGGGTCGGTTCGACCGGAGTGATACCACGGTCTTTCAGAAAACCGGCGTGAAATAACCACAGCGTTGTGTTTCGCCATGTGAGTGAGGTTACCGGAGGCCTAATTCTTCCCCCAAATACTCCTCAATTCTCAAATCTCCTATCCCTAAATCCCTGATAACTTGCAAGAGGTCGGTAACGTACTTATAGTACTTCCTTTGGTACTACGGGTGTCCATGGGCGGCGCTGATTGCTTACCATCAGGTAATCCGTCCGCTCGTTTGCCGACCTATCATATAAAAATAATATGAAGAAAATTATAGGTCCCGGTATGACTTGAAATTATTCGAACACGCTCGAAAACTTAAAGAAACTTAGATATTAACGTACAATATATCATTATAATTATATGAGATACGACATATTATGGTGAAGGAAAACATTGTGAGGAAACCTGGACTTATAATTTCTAATTATAAGTTTGAAATCGCTAACCGGCCTTGATCAAGCGTGGTGATTAATGCTCAAACCTTCTCCGTGTGAGAAGAGGCCTTTGCTCAGCAGTGGGCACTTATAGGCTGATGATGATGTTGTTAATACGTTACCTCGAGTTGTCTGGCATCATGTTCGGGGCAAGTGACCGTCGCAGACGACCCGTAGATGATCTCCGCGTCGGACACCTGCAGAACAATATTACACTTTATTTAAACAACTATATGGTACATTATGCAATAACTAATTGTGTGTAATTGTAAAGAATAACTATGGAGTTTCTTGCTCGTTCTTCTCCATCGGAATCTATGGGTCGGCTCGGACCGGAGTGATACCACGGCCTCACTGAAACAACCACAGCGTTGTGTTACGCCGTGTGAGTGAGGTTACCGGAGAACCAATCCTTCCACTCCACCAGTCCCTATATCACCAAATCCCTAATCCCTAAAAAATCGGCAAGTCACTCGTAGTTCCTCTGGAGTTGCGAATGTCCATGGGCGGCGCTGATTGCTTACCATGAGGTAATCCGTCTGCTTGTTTGTTGACCTATGACATAATGTTAAATGTTACCTTCTGTCGCTTGACGTGTTGCAGGTTGAGGTATGAGTACAGGCTGTTGAGGTAGGCCACGCCCTGACTGTACTCGCGCCATGCGCTCACGTACCTACAAACATACAAACATATAGAGAAATTCAGAAATCATCAAATGCCTTCTGTAGACCCAGGTCGTGTGGGAAGGAGTCTCAGACTCTTCAATTACTAAAAACCAGTGTATTTCTTCTTCAGCTTGGTTCATTATTGCAGACAGTTTCCAACTAGTCAAATTCAATACTTTTATCCAAACGTCAAAAACGATACTTTTCTATGTAATTTATATGAAAAACTGAGCTATGACGTCATAGTTTTTTAGCGTCAAATAACTTACTTATTTCTTAATAATTAGCTAAAAAAAATCTTTACAAAATTGAGTGTATCGATCGATCGATGAATAAAAGTATAGTTATTTTTCAATACTTTATTGTATTTGAACGTCGAATTAATTTATTTTTGACCTAGGAAACTACTTAATTGCCTTTAAGTGACTTGATTATCAAATAGAGCCCAGACTGTGACCGTTATACAGTGACTAGGTTTAATACGAAACTTACGGCAGTGGCGGTAGTGGTAAATTTATTGTAAAAGAAACTAAATCCCTGTATCACCTGGATTTTGGATACAAAAAAGTAAAAATTTTACCAAAATTCAACAACCAAAATACTGTGTATTGAGATCGGTATATTTTTTAAAAGTATAGTAAGTATTTTTTTTGTGAGGGGAAAATCATCAAATGACTTCTCCCGCCCTATAGTGTCAGACTCTTACTGACTAAAAACCCCCCTGTTCCTTCTCCTGCTCTGTGCCGAGGTCGCGGTGCCTCATTGCGCTTACCCCGCAACCCCGGTTGAAGTATAGTAAGTATATCAATCAACTTTCTAACTATTATTACACTCCGATCAATATATACAGACAAGGTGACAATAATTTTCATCTGGTTGAAAATTGGTAAAATCTCTATTTAGTGGATCCGAAATACAAAGGTTACTCGATGAAAATGCGAATGAAAATGGCATGATGTATTTTAAAAAAAACTGGCTCCTAGGTATACTTTTTTAGAAAAGTACATCATCTATAACTTTCTCTTAGCTAATTTAACGGACAAACAAACAAACAGTTTCGCAAAAAAATTGCGAAAATGTCGGTTTTTTTTCTCATTCTACCCTCGAGTTTTTTCGTCCGGTTACATCAAAGAGGAAATTTCACATTTGAATTATTGCGGTGCTATGAACAACCGGCTTTATTTTTAAACATATGTATGCAATGTTGATGTGTAAAGTGCCTTTTTTCAATCCTAGCTAGGCGGGAAATGTAACCTGATTCTGATTTTTGATTTAATGTGACCAGTCTATTACCGATGTATGCATATATAGGTACCCCCGCCATACCTGGTGAGCAGGCCATCGTTGTGGTCATTGTTCTCGAGCGCGGCGGCGCCCCTGACGCGCTGCAGCAGGCCGGCGACGTGCTCCTCGAGGAAGTTCCTGGTCTCGTCGTAGAGCCGGTCCGCCAGGGGCTCCGGGTGCGCCACGCACAGCGCGTACACGTCCGAGAACCGAGTGTTCCACACCGACCGCTCCACCGCGCGGAGACCCACCACGCCCGCCACCTGGAATACGGTGCAGCACTACGTAGTATAAAACAAAGTCGCTTTCTCTGTCCCTATATCCCTATGTATACTTACATCTTTAAAACTACGCAACGGTGTTTGATGCGGCTTTTTTAATAGATAGAGTGATTGAAGACGATTGTTTATATGTTAAATACATCCATTAGATAATGCGAAGCCCGGGCGAGTCGCTAGTATATTATAACACCGGCAACACAAGTATTCATGTAAAAATTGGTCATTTCAATACGACATGTAATTTAACAGAATGTAAACCACAAATAATAATTAAATGCCTTTAAAACATAATTAGGTGATCATTAGCTCTAGTAGAACCGCAATTTCTCTAAACTGTATGACATTAGACATGTTTCTAACCAATAAACAAAAGCATAAGCATACTATTAAAACAGGAAAAAAAACAATAAATAACAAGAGCTAGAGCATAAGAGTGAACTGAGTCATTTGAGTCAGTAAGAAATTCACCCTCACTCGCAGCACACCCTGGGCGAATAGAGAAGCCATTTGATGATTTTCCTCTCACAAAAAAAGGTATTGAGCTATGCGCCTTTATTTTATTGTACATTGAGGTTTTTGATTCAAGGTTCTCTACCCCATAGAGAACTTCATTGTAGGTTCTCTACCTACAAAGAAGTTCTCTATCACGACAATCTCCTATTTATTTGGTAACATTTTGTCCGGAGTTTAAAATAGACTGAACTTTGAGTTTGTTTGTGTGTCTCTATTATGGAAACTCATCTTGTTTATTTTCTTTAATCAGTTGTAAACATTCCACCATCGAGTCAATTTACTATATTAACTGTATCATTCAATATTTACTAATAATGTACATAGAATCTGTATGCCTGTAGTACAAATTCAATTCTATACAGGCACCGTAATGCTATTTACCAAGATTAATTAAAATGTAAGACCTAATATAAGATATTTATGTACAAACGTAAATAAATAAATTTGATTGATTGATTGATTGATTGATAGACTTTGGTCTTGTCTGAGCAGGTGAGAACCAACTTTATCCGATCTTAGGTGCCATTAATTAATCATACCCCAAGCAGAAGCTGGTGTTTGCACACTTTATTGTTATTATATTGTGTCTCGAAATAATACTTAGGTTTGTTGGGGTTGCATATCATTGGTCGCATCATCACTTACCATCAGGTGTGATAGCAGGCAAATGTCTGGCCGTTCCAAAATAATTAAAAGAAGAAAACATGCGTATATTACCGTTTCCTTGAGGTGCGCCCATGTCTCCGTGAAGTCAACGTTACGGGGCTTGAGTGACATCATCACACTCACCTACCATGTACCTGCAACACAATATGCAACTTTTCAGTAACAATTTAAGAAAAAAGTAACCACAGACTGTTGTACTTTTACGGATAAGAAAAAGCAGGATACTATGTTGAACGGAGTATCCTGCTTTTTCTTCGTCCATCCGTTGTTACTTATCCGTATGAATCTACATTCTGGAACAAACACTTATATTGGGACAGAAAATAAAGTATTTTCTAATTGGTCAAATTCAATACTTATATCCAAATGTACAAAACACATCATATGAGATCATAATAGCACACTTACCTCTTATAAATTAGCTAGAAAAGTCCAAAATTTCTTTGATTAATTTTATTCTACGCTAAAGCAACCACTCAATTTTGTTTCAATAAAAGTATCTGTATGTATGTGATATAATTAGACCATTGTACAGTATGACTTGCAAGTTTATAAATCTCCTGTCAAAGAAATAATCCAGTCATCTCTATTGAACTCTATCTTACACTATTTTCTATACTGGTCCAGCCTGGTTATATGGAAATAATTAGCTGCAGAACCAATTGCCATCACGGCAAGCAAACTCAACAAAGACTAGCGAACTATGCAGTTGATATTATGTGTCAACACAGGTACACTTAGATTCAGTCTATAATAATGATACAGGATCACATCTGATGGAAAGACATGCTCTATCATCAACATATTCTACACAAGTCACAAACACTCTGTCTGTAGTTGAGGTTCATAGCTGTACCGGTCCAATACAATGCATCTGTGCAGTGTTTACTAACTACAACAATGTGTACAACTCACTGTCATGGCTCGCCTGTTATCACAAAACAAGTGCCCCAGTAAGCAGAGCAACGACAAACTATTCCGTCGTCTAATTATTTACAAATTGCATTTTAATGTGTCTTAGTGTAGCGCCGCTATATGGGTCACTGGACGCGCTGTCAACGCAAGTCATCGCGTCCATTGTTCGCGCGCGACCTTACACGAGGCTGAGGGTGCAAGGCGACGACCTTCCCCCGCGCGCCACCAGCTCGCAGCCGCCGGCCCAGGCACCCATACGGAGCCCGACCGAAACAACGCAATAACCACGCAGTCACCACTCTCACAAACTTGGCACGATGTCAAATTCGCACCAACAAAGCGACCGCTGGCCGCCACAACACATCAGCCAGAAATTACTCAGCAGGATTGGCACAAAACAAAAATAATATAATAGATATAACGATGCAATGACAGGCACACACCAATACACGGAACTTTACACTCTTTGGGGAGTCACACCGCCTTACCTCGGCTGTATCGTGTAGCCCAGTGTCGAACACGATAATTCGCAAGACAACCGTCAAAGTATTAGCTTATTTTAACAATAAAAATAATCATAATCAAATAAAAGTGGGTCTGCAGTTCTGTATCACTTTAATTTGACGTTTCTCTCTGATGTTGCCACTTACCAGCGTAAATAAGTCTGCAAACGCACGTTTCGTTTCTCCTCCATATTTAACCATATTTAGAAAACCATTGTTAAAAATAAATGTGTGAGGATATTACATTTAAATTAATAAATAAAATTAAACAAAGTTCAATATTTTATAAAATAAAATGCATCCTTACTTGCGGGAGCTTGATGTGCTCGAAATAAAACGGAGCTTTTTTTTCTTTACTCTAACAAACCAACAATTATCTTATTAATTCAGAAGAAATACTTCAATGTGTGGTTCATTATTATAAATAGAAAAAATGTTTGAAGTCCTTTTTGATAACCTAAAGACTATTTTTCAGGTTCACTTTTCGCTATTTTCATTTTTAGTGTCCTTACCGGTTGTTACATAACACCTTCCCCAGTATACAAATACATATAATATTATTTATAATCTTATTATTAATGATGTGGGTAATTACTGAAACTAAGTGAACGTTTCAGATTCTTGCAGATATTATCAGTTTGGCGAGAGGTCATTGCATAATATTTCGCATAAATAAAACGAGCGTCGTCTTACAATATTTTAATAAAACCCATTCATATATTACTTAAGTACATTACAATACATTACATTTATATACAAAATAACATTAGCGTATAATTTACCTCCTTATTGTTGACTATGTAACTTTAATTTTTAAATAGTTTCGTCTAGGATGCTTACGGTCTAGTAATTTTATCTTCACTACATATTAGATAGATAATTAGTTCACACATTGCGACTAAACATCAACATTTCGATAATACACTAATTATTTATGCAAATAAATAACATTTTAAAAGATAAGGCAAGAATGGAACGTTGGTATAGTCTGCCCCTGTTTTAAGGCAAATAGTAAGTTGTATGTATTTGCAATATGTTATAATGTTCTTTAGTTGAGACCACGTCTAGACAAGCAAAAGCAAGATAGTAATCTTGCACGTAGTAGTTACATACGTAAACTGGAGATCTAGCTGAGTAGCAAGCTATAGGAGAGGTCTACGCACAAAGTAAGGTACAGATAGATTCTTTTAAAAAATGGCACAAATAATCACAAAGTTTGGCAAATAAACACAGACCCTCTCATTATAAACTACCTATATGCGCCGGTCATGGTCACGCGCAGGTAAGAAGTGCTTAGGTATTAATCAAATATGTTGATGAAGTCTCCTACTACACGTAACACATTGACAGTTTGGTGTCCAGCAGTGGGCCGCGTGGTCAGTGTGGCGCGGCGCCCCGCAGCAGGGCCCGCGGCAGCACCAACATGAGGAGGCGGTACAGCAACACCGACAGTGACAGCAACACGAACTGGTGCACGCGGCGCAGTCTGGAACAACACACCAAGTTATTCATCACAAATTGTTTCATATTTTTTCCCCAGTTCTTTTTTGTGAGGGAAAAATCGTCAAATGGCTTCTCCCGTCCCAGGGTGGGGTAGGAGGGACTATCAGACGCTTACTTTCTAAAAACCCCCCACAGTTCCCCTCCTACTCTAGGCTGAGGCCGCGGTGCCTCATTCCGCTTGCCCCGCAACCCCGGCTGAACATCAGCCTTATAGGGCTGTATTTTTACCCCAGTAAGACCATGTTTCCTAGATGATGAAATGTAAGCTCCACATGATTTTAGACGCAGGTCAATGGTCGGTTGAAGTTGCTCTCGGAGGTCGCTACTGTTTTTAGAAAGTCGGAACTCCGGGGAGACGAAACGGTATGACTCTCAAAGACTAGTCATAAAATAGTAACAACGATTTGCAAGTCAAGTTTACCGGAAGCCCAATCCCTCCCCTTCCCAATCCTCAAATATCCGATACCCTTATCTCCAAAAGGCCAATATCACACTCGTAACTCCTTTGATGTTGCGTGTGCCCATGGGCGGCGCCGATAGCTTACCATCAGGTAATAAGCTCGTTTGCCGACCTATAACATAAAAACTTGATAATGACTTTATAAGTACTAAAAATGAGTTTAGGAAAACTCAATAGAGCTTTGGCGACCAAGGCACACCATTGCTTACTATCCTTAGATCGGTCAGCTCGATTATAATCCCCGCTACTCTATAATAGGCACAAGTAGACTACGGACCTCTCCAGCATCTTCCTGGCGCGCGGGATGTTGTCGTCCTTTTCCTTGAGCAGGTACTTGCGCGTGCCCTTCACGAAGTTCGTCACGTGCTCGTCCCAGCTGCGGACAGAGAGTACAATATTTGCATATTAAAGACTAGTTACTCTCTCGGCTCCATTTGATCGTAGCGTGATGTTTTGTAGCCTATAGCTCTCGGGAACATTGTAGCTATCTATCAGTGAAAGAATTTTGGCAATCCGACCAGCGGTTCCAAAGATTACCCCTTACATACTACCTCTTTATAATATTAGTATAGATAGAATAGATTGCACTGTAAGAATGATGCTAAAATGCCCACATTTGGTAGTTTTTCTGTTGAGAATAAGATATCTATATAGCTATAGCTCATTTCTCGCTTCCTTGTTTAGCTTGTTTTTTTTTTGAGGGGGATAAATCATCTAATGACTTTTTTTGCACTGGGCGAGAGAGAGTATCAGACTCACAGGCTTATATTTGAAATATGTCTGTGATCATCAAACTCTTACTGAGTGAAAACCAGCTCGGATGTCCTAGGTTACGCTTGCCTTTAAGTGGCCTCCATTCAGAATCTTGTCCCGTTATGCTTTAGAACTGCCCATTGGCACTTTAGTATTGCCATTTTCTGTGTGTGAATGATTGAAGAGGAAGGTTTATATGTAAGTATAGATTACAATTATTAAATAGTGGAGACATTAAGTGTCGCTAGTGGTAGTGTATATACTGACTCGACGGAGGCGACGTCGAGGTTGTAGATGTGGGTGTCAGCGCGCGTGAGGCGACGGCGCAGCGCGTGCACGTTGCGCGTGCTGAAGGTCCACTCGCGCGTCGCGAAGAACGCCAGCACGCGGTTCATCGCCTGCAGACGCGAGCTCACCGTCACCAGGCTCAGTCTGGTACACATACATATACTGTTGATTACCGTTTTAAGCTATTGGTTGAGGTATCATTCGGTTGAGAAGACTATTAGTCGAGTTTGCTTTTGGTTGAGGAGAATATAAGTATTGTAGGCCACTGGTTGAGTCGGTTAAATTTAAAAATTAACCAATTTGGATCGCTATGTTAGAGTAACTACATTTTCATCACAAATTGTCTCAAATAACAGTAATTAATACAGAAGTGAGTACTCACTGCAGTTTGATTCCACAAATGCGCGCGAGGTAGTCCGCGATGTGCAGCGGTATGGTCTGCAGCACCAGCTCCAGCGCCTTGTACACATACCTGCGGGACACACGGCGCTGTTGTCTATACATACTTTTGTATGTGGACGGTAATCGAAAATACGATTTCGATTACGAAAGCAATCAACACTTTCGTTACGTTGCCGACTTTTTGGAGATTAGAGATTTGGAGATTTGAGGATTAGGAAGGGGATGGATTGGACCTCAGACACATGATGAAACACAATACTGTGGCTTCTTGCTGGTTCCCTGTCAAGCCATCACTCTGGTCTAGGCGAACTATTCGTGCTGAAGCATGGCTCTCTCACAGTTACATCATTAGTTAATTAGACCTCCCTAATAGCACGCCACTGAGCTCGATGTTCAACTCTTCTCATCCAACTATTGCTAGCTACCCTGCGGAAGGCCCACAGTTACGGGTCGAGGGATTAAGTCAACCCTCCTCAATTCACTCGACGAATGGAACTGAATGAGCTGCTCCTGACTGATAGATTACAATTAAAGATCGCTACAGACAGATAGAAGTGCGACAGTACCTGTTCTTAACGCCGAAGGTGAATGGGTAGTACATGAGTTGGTCGAAGGGATGGGTGCGCGCGCTGCGCAGGACGCGGTCGCGGAAGGCGCGCCACGTGATCGGGTTCTGCTGCGAGCACGAGTTGTACACGCGCACCTCCGGGGACCTGCGCCAGTAGCAACTCATAGACTCATAGACAGGACTTACGAGTGTTTGCCACACAACTCTACGTGTAATCCACAAATTGTTCTGAGGGGCAACGTTTAAAAATACCCCTACTCTCGGTAGCCAAGCTAGAAATCGCTCTCTAGTAAACTTTTTAGATACCGCTGTTAATAAGTCGAATCAAATGTGTAAGTAATCCATTATGCAGCTTTTATGACACAAATTGAGGAGCCCTGGATATAGTGCGTTCAACCAAACAAAAAAACGCAAAAGCATACTGTTTAGTACTTAGTATTGATAAAAAGAAAGTCAGCTATGGTCAGCAGCTTCAACCGCGATTCCAGGATAAAAAGCCTATATGTTATTCCAGACTATAATCTATCTGTGTGCCAAATTACATTCAGATCCGTTCAGTAGCGTACTTACAAACTATTATTAGGACGTTACAACGTACTTGTCAGTAGCAATCTCCCAGGCGACGGCGAGCATGGTGTCGATGGTGATGTCGACGGGGATGAGGTCTGCGCGCGCGTCCAGGTCGAGGTTGAAGGCGTGCACCAGGCCCTTGCCGCTGCCCACCACCACGCCGCTGGGGCCCGCCAGGTTCTCGATCCACCCGGGGAACGGGTGCCGGTGGGACGATACCACTAAACAAACAACGTTGTATCAATTCTTGGACTACGTATATGCCTTTTGAACATACATAAGTATTTTTTGGAGGAGGTAAATTCAACATAATGACTTCTTCTCTCGCCCAGGGTATGGAGAGAGGGAGTTTCAGACTCTTACTGACTTAAAGTCATACCGTTCCTTCTCCTACTCTGGACTGAGGCTGCAGTACATACTTGCGCTTCCCACACAACCCTGGCTGGCACACAAGTTTGGCAGACTGGTTGGAGCTCGTGGTTTTAAAGATTATTTTACCAGAGAGCGCAAAGAGGGAGAGGGCAGCAGCGATGATGTAGGGGAACCAGGTACTGGTGTACGCTAGCATCTTACAACTGTTTATTGTACGTACAGTCGTCAACATATC